GCTCGTACGTTTGTTCCAGTTAGACCGCGCCTCCCTCCCTCACGTCCGATCGAAATCGTATATCTTCGAGGCGAGAGACCGCCGCGCCGCCGCTGTAGCTCGCCGTCGGATTAAACGCGGACGTCGCTTCCCTGACTCGTCATACCCGCCAATACTCGAGAGAAGATATTGTTTTACAATCGCAACGGGAAGGTGTCCTTTCTCTCGGCAGTCCTGCTCTCTCTCTCTCTCTCTCTCTCTCTCTCTCTCGTCCACGATGAGGACACTCGTTACGAGGCAGGGACGGCGAGGGAGAGAAAGTGTCGCGGAACCCCTTTCGCCTCGAATGTCACGGTCCTAAGGGTGGAATTTTCACTCCCGGACGGACGCGCGGGTTTCGGATCGCGTTACAACCCTTCTCGCGAATCCGGCTCGTTTATTATTGCGACTCTGAAATATCTACGAAGAGACCGCCGCCGCATCACCCTCGATATATATATATATATATATATATACACACACACACACACACGCCGTGTACGCGTGCGGTCTCACGTGAAGCTCTTCGAAGGCCGGCCGCGGGATTAATTGTGCACGTGGAATTAACGAACGATTACGAAATTTCACGTCGAATTTCCACCGCGCGAGCTGTGCGTGTTTTCTCTTTTTCCCCCTCCCCCGGCACCATTAACAGTTCGATACCGTGAAATATTAGTTGGCACGCAGCGAAATGTTTCAGCGTGTCCCCTGAAAAATTAATCGTATGCAAAGCAGGTTGCAGTTTTTTTCGACGGCGATTAAAATTTTCATTTCAATTAGCACCTGCCGGGCAAATACACTTTCCAGCGGGTCGCCCGAGGTGGATGTACGAATGTAACAGCGCCGTCGATCACGATGTTTCCGGCCGCGGTCGCCGCCGAGGAGCGAGGGGCAGCGACAAGGGGGGCAAAGAGAGAGAAAGAGAGAGAGAGAGCGAAGGGGGACGGCCGGGTTACTCGATAACGGGATAAACACGCCGAATAATTGGAGACTCGCGATTTAGGCATCGCCGAAAAACAACAAAAAAAAAAAGAGAGAGACCAGCGACAGAGACAGACAAGGCGCGGGAAAAAAAGCACGTTTACACGCGACGACATGCGCGACGCGTCGCGATAAAAATTCATTGGCGTATGTGAATGCTGGAACGCCGATGGCACGTGCATCGTTTATTAAAAAAGCTGTTGGACGGCCGCGCGCGTCCCGGGATCGAAGAGCGCGGGGACATACCTTCGCCATTTTACAGAGGCCCTTTGTCGTGCCGAAATTACAATTGCTATCGTCATTATCGGATGCGTTATGCGCACGATGCGTTTGGTGGACGCGGAAATCCCACCCCCCATTGTTCGCAGCGGCCCGTTTTGATCGAAAACGTCAAAGCGACCGAAAAAACATACGTCTCTCCGGCGGAATGCCGGAAAAATACGGCCGAGCGGAGAATCGCGGTGAAGAGGGACGGAGCGGGAGGACGCGTATTATCGGACCGGTGGTGGCGGGGTTCACCCCCCCCTCCCCTCCGGCCGCTCGCGGGTTCGCTGCGAGCCATTTCCGTTTCGCGAGGTGATCTGGAATCTCTCTCTCTCTCTCTCTCTCTCTCTCTCTCTCTCTCTCTCTCTCTCTCTCTCTCGCTCTCCTCTCTCGGCCTTCGAAACGCCGCCTCTTAATGAACTCCCGCTGTTCGAGCCGGCCGTTTCTGAGCGTCGGGGAGGGAATCCCCGCCGAGTCCATCATTACCGAGTCAAAATTAAAGCCAAAGATACAGAAGGGCGCGCGTTTTCGGCGCGGCTTATTAGTTTCGCGCAAAGCGTGGGCGATGCCGGGCCACGGCGACGACGACGACGATGACGACGACGACGACGACGACGACGACGACGGACGACGACGACGACGACGACGACGACGACGACTCGTCGGTGGGGCAGCCTCGCGATTATTTATCAGCGCGCGATTATTTATCAGCGAATTAATTATCGCGGCGGTGCGAGCGAATTTAATATAAACGTTCGCTTTGGCTTTGCCCCTTCGGGGCAAACTAGGCTGTAATTTCGACTGCTGGATACGGCGCGCCTCGTTATTCCTCGTCGAGACGTCGAGGAAACGGTTCTTTCCTCTCTCTCTCTCTCTCTCTCGCTCGCTCTCACTCGCACCAGGGCCGACGTAGGGCCGCGATCACTAATTATTCGCGTATCGTCGAGATCCGTGAGCGTAGGAGCCGTATTACGCGCGCATAATGAAACCCGTAACACGTATTAACGTATTCACGCGGGCGCACGTACACGCGAAAATTCGCGGACGCCGCCGCGGCGGCAGTAACCATAGACGTAGGCACGGCGAGCGCCGCGACGTCGAACGTAATATTCGACTAATTACAAATTTAATAACCCCGGTTCGTTGCCGGTTATTGCAAGGCCGCGACGTCTAAATGAATCGACTCGGCGCTGCGCCGCGCTGCGCTCCGTCTTTCTCCCCGTTCCCGCTCCTTCTCGTTTTCGCCTTCGCCACCCCTTCGCCCCTCCCGCTCCCCTCCCCCTCCCCCTCGCCATGTTCGACGACGTTCCACCCGGTTCGTCGCTCGGCCGGCGATGTCTGTCGTCGCGAAAGAGAATACGCGCTGTGTCTTAATGGACTCGTATTACCAATTAAGGCTTAATTATCATCGAAATTAAATCGCCACGACGTCTCGAGGGCGGCGGAGGGGGGTTGCCGCTCGTTGCGACTCCCGGGGATTTCTCTCTCTCTCTCTCTCTCTCTCTTTCTCTCTCTCTCTCTCTGTGGTCCTCTCTACGAGCGAACTCTACGAGTCTGTCCATTTCTTGACCGATCGTCCTCGTTTGCGACTATTCTCCTCCTCCCTCTCCCCCTCCCCGGATCGCGAGAAACCCTCCCGCGAGTATATCCTTCTCGCCGGAGAATCTCTTTAGATTTCGCGGCCCGCGCGTCGCACACACATAAAGGCGCCGCTCTCCGTTTCCCTTAACGCCGCTGTAACTTATCGCCCGTAGACACAGTATTTCTCTCCGGCTCTTTGAAAGCATTTTCTCATTAAAAAATTAAGGGTGGGCGGGGGCGCGGGCGCGGGTGAAAAGGAGCGAAGCGGTCGTAGAGGGATGAGGGGGGCGGCCGAGCGAGTTCGCGGTGCAGAAACGAAGCGTGGGGCCGTGAGACAAGAGGGTTTTGCGGCGAACGGCGGAGCACACGGGACGGGGGTGCCGCGGGGGAGGGAGGGGGGGCTGTGGACGGAGGGGTCGGTAAGTGCTCTGCGGCTCCCAGATGCGCCCAATATTATGTTTAATGATATTAACTTCTTACTTAATGGTCCGCGGTTCGATTCGAGGTGCGAAAGAGGCGCCCCCTCCTCCCCTCCCCCGCCCGCCCGCCGCCGCGAACCGCAGCCGGTGGAAGTCGGAAAAAGTATACCCGGGAGAATAATTTGGTGAGTCGAGTACGAGAGAAGAGAAAAATGGCGGGGAGGCAAGACAAGAGGAGGAAGAAGAGAGAGAGAGAGAGAGAGAGAGAGAATACGGCGCGCGGTGAAAGAGCCTAATCACTCGGGGGACGCGTCCATTTCGCGTTCTCTCTCTCTCTCTCTCACTCTCTCTTCTCTGGGCTCCTTGCAAAATAAATCCGCGACTACGTGGATGACCTCCGCTATAAACCTCGCGATAAAAGCCGCGGCGGCGGCAGGTCTCTCCCTCCCTTGTTCCGCGCTCGTCGAGGGTCGCCCTCGCCCTCAACTCTTTACGCGCGATTAAGGAATCGCCCTCCGTGGCGCTCGACGCTCAAAGTGTGCTTGTACTGTGTGAAACTTTGTCCGAAAATTATTTTCTCCCCGACCGCTCTCGCGAGACAGAGGCGCTCGAACGCGAGGCGTGCGACGGCGACGACGCCGATTATAATTTCGTTTCGATCGCCACGGGGAATTCTCGCCACGAGGTGGAGTCGTTTTTTTTTCTCTCTCCTTCTCTCTCTCTCTCTCTCTCTCTCTCTCTCTCTCTCTCTCTCTCTCTCGCTTTGTCTCTCCTTCCTTGTCGCGGCGACGCTGGGAGGACGACGGCAAAACTGTAATTTCGTAAGGAGCTTTTATCTCGCTCGTTTCCCGCTTACCGCGGCTTTACGACGGGAACGCCCGATTCCTCGCGATCCTCGCTCGCTTCTTAATGCGCGCCGCAACATCGGGACAGAAATCTTAACGATTCTCGGGTAAGCCGCGACGGGCCCGGAGGGCACGAGTGCCAAACAATATAAAGCCAAGATTAAAAGTTCCGTGGCGCGGGAACGTAAAGTCGCATTAACGAGCGCCGACCTCGTAAAACCCGGACACTCGGGGAAATCGAAGTAAAATACGGAGAAGCGAGACTCGCGGAGACTCTCTCGCGCGCATGCGGAACGCAAATTCGCCGCGGTCTCGCAAGAGAGACCTGTCTGTCTGTCTGTCTGTCTCTCTCTCTCTCTCTCTCTCTCTCTCTCTCTCTCTCTCCCTTTCGTTGTCCTCTCGCGGGGATAAATCGTTCGCCAAGCGCAAGAGCTTTTTATTACCGCTTACCGCTTAAATCTTGCTAATTTACCGTCGGCTCGAGTTTCGGCTCGGCCGACGATACCGCCGCGCACGTCCGTGTCGTCTCCGCGCGGCTCGCGCGGAGCGTCTCGAGCGAGTGTGCGCCGCGCGTGCAAAACGAAGCGATTAAGAGCGATGATACAGGGGGTGCACGGGGGTGACAGCGGCGGCGCGGCCGCGCTGAGCAACAGGAACGAGAGATCCCGCCGGCACTTATCTTCCTACGCGCGAATCCCTTGCCCAGCGACTAGAATAATTATTTAATTAATACCCGTACATGCACACACACACACACATGGCTCACATACACACAGAGCGGAGTCCGCCCACCTTTCGCGCGCTCGCTCGCTCGCTCGCTCGACTTAAATCCCCCACCCGCCCCGGATTATAATACGGAAACCTTTCTTTTCTCTCTCCTTCTCTATTGCAGGCTCCGAGAGGAGAGGGGCGACGCCGAGAGAGCGCTGGCTTTGGACCACAAACCCAGGGACCTCAGCTCGCACAATGGTAAGCTTACGTAAGCGAATGCATACATGCACCGCGCGCTCGCATGCTCGACATTTCGTTCCGATTTCGCGCCGGTCGATCCCCGCTACGGTCGCGCGTGGAAAAGTCGCGTCGCTCGCCATCAGTGACTCCACGCACTCGTACATCTGTCTGCGCATCCGCCTCGCTCTCTCGTGCGAATTTTCTGCACTTGAACCCGTAATCGGTACGACGTGATCAGGCGAGACGCGGCTCTCTTTGCGAGATCCACGAATCAAGCGCGGCGAGAGAGACGACAGTCGGAAGGCGCGATACTTTGGAGGGAAGTTTCGGGCTTTCCGTCAAACTTGGTATCGTCGGGGTCTCGGGGAGGGCGCGGGGGATACCGGTTGACCAAGTTAGCCGAGCACGAGAGAGCCGATCGAACAAGCTCTCCTCTCCGCTCTCTCGTTCGCGCTCGCGAGATATCTCGGCGGTTCCGCGCGGTCGCCTACAATTTCCCGCAGCGTTCGTTTCTCGTATTCCCATCTCTGCCTGCCTGCCTGCCTGCCTGCCTGCCTGCGCCTACCTGCGCGTCGTCACGGCGCCTGTCAACTGGATTAAGTCGGTAACGCGAGATCCTTAATCGTCCGGGGCTCCGGGCTACGTTCGATCGACGCGCGGACGCCGAGAGTCAAGCGGCGCAGAAAGATTTTTGACCGCGACACGGCACCGCGCGCGCGCGCGCGCCTCTCGTGCTCGTCCTTTTCTGTATTTCTACCTTTTCGATCCTCCCCCCCCCTTCCCCCCCCCCGCTTCCTCCAGCGCCGCCGCTTCGCCCCGCGCAGCGGACGAGCCGAGTGTGTCCCGGGCGTTTAGGATCCCGCAGATTAAGTCCGATATCGGGTTACGTCCTGTCGCGGTCCGGCCTCTCTCTTTCTGATTCCCTATAATATTATAATCCGTCTGATGGAACCCTTTATCTTCCGTGAGACGGGCCGACCTCCGCCCGAGACGCCGCGCCGTCCGGCCGTTTTTTCGACTTCTCTCTCTCTCTCTCTCTCTTCCCTCTCTATCTCTGTCTCTTTCTCTCTCGATCGCTTGGAAATCGCGCGCTTAACCGAGCTCGGGCCGCGCCGAGGAAAATGTCGACCTCGCCATCGGGAATCTGCCCCCCCCCCTCCTGAGCAGGCAGCTCCCTCGGAATCCTCGCGCGCGACGGTACGTGCGCGTATCTCTCTTTCTCTCGCGTATTTCCGTGCACGCGCGCAATTACCAGCGGTCGGATCGGATTACGCTTCACGCGAGGACCCCTCTGCGCGCGCGCGCGCTGCCGAGCTTTTCAGCCTGCAGCGTGGTAGCCCGGCTGGTGGTGGTGTAGGAGTCAATTTAACGTAAAAGATGTACGATTCATTAGATCGTGCCGGCAAGAGCCGAGAAAACCGCGACCCTTCTCTTTCAACGGCCAACGAGCTCTACAACAACAACAACAACAACACGCTCCGCTCCGGGCGCGTACGTGTGAACGGCCTCGCCGCTTCCCCGCGCCGCGTCCGTCGCCGACGTACTCGTTCCGCGGTACTCGTGAGATCACGGAGCGGAGCCCCGGAGCAATGCGTCAGCGCGGACGACCGTTGCCCAAACAGTATCTATCTATGTCAGGATTAAAATACTAGGATATCAAATACGCGCGCGCGCGCGAGCGAGTCCGCGCTTAGGTCGGTCGGGGCGAGGAAAAAGGGATGCGGAAAGAGAGAAAGAGGCGGTGGTCGTCCGCGCCGAGGCAAAAGAGAGGAAGAGAGAGAGAGAGAGAGAGAGGGAGGGGGTGGGAAGGCAGAGAAAGGGAGAGATGGTGCGGGAGAGAGAGAGAGAGAGAGAGGATTCGGAAAGTGGATAGTCCGCTTGTTCTCGTCTAAACGGGGATGCGCGGAGGCAAATAAAATCCATCAACTTGTCAGTCCGCTCGATGGACGCGCTTCTCGTCCTTCGCGCGCCGCAACCGAACCCGCTCCTCGGGAGAGATTGACGCCGCTCTCGCGGCGTTATCGCGCGTCGGCTAGATACATGGACGCGAACGCGACTCGATTCCGCCCGGACGTATCGACACCCCCCGAGCATGTGTATGTGTGTGTGTGTGTGTGTGTGTGTATATGTGCGTGCATGCGTGTGTCGCATGTAGAGGGGAGAATGAATGCACCTCGTAGCAAACGCGATGAGAATTTACATCCTTCATTAAACCGGCCGCGGTATCGCGCTTTTTGCAGGCTCCTCCAACGGCCACAGCCCGGTTCTAAATCTGTCGAAAACTGCGGGAAGCGGAAGCGTGGGCGAGCACTCCGGAAGCGAGGCGGGAGCGTCGCATCGTTCTCAAGACGACGAGGAGGAGGACGACAATCTGTCGGAGGACCTCGAGGACGACAACGAAAAGGACGAAGGTACGACCAGTGGGCCGAGCGATTCCTCCGGAATCTCGCTCTCGCTCTCCCATCGCTCGGGGTATTTATAGAGCCTGATAGAGCGGTCGATCGCTCGCAATCAATTAGAAAGCCGGTGAAAGGAGTAGCGCGCGCGCGCGCGCGCGCGCGCCGCTTCCCGTTCGCTTTGACGCTCGAGCAGAGTCGAAAGGCCGGATTTCGACTCGAGAGACAAGGAGGAGGAGGAGGAGGAGGAGGAGGAGGAGAAGGGGGATTCGTGCTCGTCAAATAATTATATCGATTTTGCCGGACACGCCGCGTTTAAAGACGAGTTCTTCGAGACGACTGGCGGGTCAGGCCCTCTCATCCATCATCGCTCTACCGAAAGAGAGAAAGGAAGGGCGCGCGCGCGCGCGAGAGAGAGAGAGAGAGAGAGAGAGAGAGCGCGAGGGATGCGCCTCTCGGGATTCGTCTTCCATCGTGCTCTCCGAGAAACACGTCGCGCAGCGGTTGCCAAGTCGCGATGCACAAGCTGCGATGCGCGCGTGTTCAATCGCGTGGCCGATCGTTGAGCTGCGAGATGCGACACATTCGGCGAGGAAATCCCCGACGCGATCGTCGACTCGCGCGACACCCGCGCGAGTCACCTCCCGCGATTCGGGAGGGCGCCTCGCGCGCCTCCTCCGCCGGAGGGACGGCCTCTCCTCGGCGAGAAGCGCCACTGTCGGGCCAAAGCGATCATTAGACTGCGCGTCTTCGATATTTAGTTTCGTTTTTCTAATGAAAGATGGATCGGGAGATAGAATCTCTCCGTCCGAGGGAGCTTTGTATCGCCATCCTTGCTCCGTCCCGGCGCTCCGATTCAGCCGAGCGTCATAATCATTTTGATTCCTAATCGACCGGGCCATTGTCGCGCCGCGGCATGTTAATTGGCCGGCTCTCTCTCTCTCTCTCTCTCTCTCTCTCTCTCCGATTAATGGACGTGAGCCGAGAGCCGTTCCACGGAAAGTCCCGCGCGCGCGCATCCGCATCGCCTCGCCGTCCGCGAGGAGACGAACAAGAGACGGAAACGAACAAGAGGAGGAAGAAAAAGAAGACAGATGAAGCAGGGGGCGACGAGGAGCGGCGGGGGCCGCGCGGGGGGGCTCGATCGTCTCTCGCGCGCGTTGTCTTAATTAATTTCCTTCTGGCCCCCTCGTCCCCCGACCGCGCGAGATTCCGGACACGCAGTCGCCTCTCTCGTCGAGAGCCGCAATTCACAGAAATCATAACATCGTCCTGCGGACGTCCTGCGCGCCAGCGGGGAAAAGCGCCGCGCTGGGCGCGACCGGCGGGGGGACCGCGGCAAATTTACAGGGACTCCCGCGGTGTGTGTAACCCCTCGAATTAGCGTGGGGCCCTGAAATTCCGCGAAGGGGACACGAGTTAGGACGATAAAGGTGCCGCAGGGGCGGGGCGCACTTGGCGGGCGCGGGGCCGGTGGTGGGGATTTGGGTGCGGGGCCGGTGCACGGCGAGCCGTGGCGTGGGGGGGGGGCGGCGGGGGGGGGCGGAGGGCGGTGTGGCTGAGGCGCATGCGGCTGGCAGGGGGTGGCTCTTCCTGGCGTCGGTGGCGTCTGCTCGGGGGTGGGTGACGTGGCTCTCCCGCTAGTGCGGGTGGGGGGGAGGTCGGGGGGGGAGGATTGGGCGGGGGGCGCGTCGGTGCGGGGGGGGCGGGGGGGGGTGGGGGCGGGTGCCGGCGGGCGGGGCAGGTGACCGGGGGCCGAGTGATTCTCTCCACGTGGCGGGGGGGGGCTCTCGGGCGTGGCTCTCGCAGGAGCCGTCTCCGGCGAGATCGACCGAGCTGGCCAACCGTTACGCCCGTAGCGAAGATGGGCCCGTGGGAGTGTAACGCCGTGAAGTCAGTTTGATTTAATGAGAAACGACGACGCCCACTATCTGCTCGCGTCTTCTCGGAATCGATCATCGCGAGTGCGATTTCGCCGCCGCCGGCCGTGCCGTCCGATGGTCGACGCGTGCGAGACTATTTGTTTTCTCTTTCCTCTCGCTCCCTCCTTCTCTCTCTGGGTCCGCTGTTCTTCAATCACGTGCGACAACCCTCCTTTGGCAGTCTGCCCGCTCCATGCCTACTATGCCTCCTTCACTTCCTCGTTCTCTCTTGCGCCTTGTTAGTCGACATGGCGCACGCGGGAAGTCGCGATGCTTGGCTGCGCGTTTTCGTCGCGCCGTGGCAGGTGGCATCCGGTTCTGGAAGGAGCGACGGCCCGGTCCACAGACTCATGCATTCGCTCTGGCGCGGAGAGACCGGCCAAGTGATCCGCTTCCTCATCTCCTGATAACTTATTAATGGGGGCCGGGTGTGGAAGATGCAGCGGCGCGGCTCCCCGACGACGAGCCGCAAAGAGGGAGAAAAGAGAGAGAGAAGGAGGGGGAAAGAGAGAGAGAGAGAGAGAGGAGAGAAGAGAGATGAGGGCATGAAGCTGCAGGTAGCAGCAGACGAAGTCTCAGACGAAAAAAGCAGCGTCGCCTCGCTTTATCAAAGAGTGCCGGGGACGGACCGAAATGCTTTGCACTTCCTCTCTCGCGCTCGCAGTTCCGCAGCTTATAAACCAGGCCAGCGGCAATAAGCTAAACCTGATTGCGTTGGCGCGCGCGTTGATAGGTGCGCACGTAGATAATCTAAAAGACGATACAATAAAGCACATATCATCCGCCAATAAGCAAGCCGGGCCTAAAGCCTGCGCTGTGGGCGTCGAGCGGTCTACTTAGTGTGGCCCGGAGAACCACGCAGACGTCTTTGTCGAGACAGGCGCCGCTCTTACGGCCTCTCTCGGCAATAAGACTCATAAGGGACCACGCCTGACTCTTCCTCGGCCGACCCCTCGCCCTCGGCGGATCCTTCCTCGAACGGAGAAGAAGAGAGACGCAGGAGAGGGAGAGAAGAGAGAAGAGAGAGAGAGGAGAAGAGCACGTGCGCTCTCCAAAGACCGACGCGACGTGTCAAGGCGTGCGGCGAGCGGAGAGGTTGTCGTGAGAGACAGCGCATACACCGGCGCGAGCCGGGGGTCCGGTCCTGACCTACTCCCACGGCTGATGGAGGAGACGGATAGCTGTGATATCGACGACGATGGATTTACATCGCGCCGGTGGTCCCCGTTTGGCTTGGCGGAGCAAGCGAGAGCGCAGATAAACTTTTCGACGGGACGACCTTGGCGGAGAGTGGGCGAGACCGACTCCGGCACGATAGCAGTCGGCTTTGCACGCGCGCTGTGGATTCCAGCCGATAAGTTATATTTTTTTGCTGTATAACGTAATAATAAAGCATAATAATATTCACATATTCGCATGCGTCAAAGTCGTAAAGCGCACGCCGAATTTCTCCGCTCCGGGCGGGCCGAGACATCGCACGGAGAGACGGTTCAAGCGGAGGAAGCTGCACCGCGAGCGCTTGTCAAACTCGCGCGTCTGCTGGATTCAGGGGAATTTAAGAGCGCGCGCGCCAGTTTGCGAAGCAGTGCTCCGCTGAGAACGCGACGCATATCGCTCCGCACCGACTCTGAGTCGGAGTTCTTTCTCACCCCTTCTTTTTTGTGATTCCCACTGCGGCGGCGGCCCGAATGATCATTGTCCATTATCGCGTCGAGTGAAAGCTCCGTCTCTCGTCTCTCCGTCTCTCCGCGAGCGAGATTTCCCCTCGAGGAACTTCAGAGCATCTCGTCGTCGTCGTCGTCGTACGTCGTCGTCGTCGGCCATTTGTTTCGAACCACGAGATGCTAACAGCCGGCTGCGCCGAGAGAGGTCGACTAATCGCGGGCGCGCTCGTCGGTGTAGCGGCGGATCCGCTGGAATCTTATAAGTCTCCCGCGCGCACGTTGACGTTAAATCAAAAAGTGGCGCGAGCAGGGTACAAGTGTCGTCGCGAGATTACGATCCGGGACACGCACGCGATATACAAGTCTCCTACACGTAGTCGTGTTTTCGCCGCGGCCCCTCCCGCTCTCGGACGTTGTCCGGCGATCGCGCGCGAATTATATCATTTCGGTGTTCCTTTTTTCCGCCTTCCCCGCCGTCGCGCCGCGCGGCGTCCCGCCGGCGAGAGGACGCTGCAACTGCGAAAACGCACCGGCCGCATCGTGCGAAGATTTACCAACGCGGCGAGCCTCTGCAACTCTTATCGCCGGCGTCGCGAGCTCGAGTACTGAGATGCGCGTCGGAAGGTCGCGATACCCGCGGGGCCGTCTCAGCCAGAGGAAGAGGGAGGAGTAACGAGCCTCGGAAATCTTGTGCTTTCAGATTTGTCGGACGTGCCGGAGAACCTGCCGCTGCCGGCGCCGGGCTCGGAAAGTCCTCAGGCCCTCAACTACTCGCAGATAGCCTCAGCGGCGGTCGCCGTGTCTCAGGGCGCCCAGGACCCCTCGGTCTCGAGTACGGAGACCCTGCTGAGGAATATCCAGGGCCTGCTCAAGGTCGCGGCCGACAACGCGAGGCAGCAGGAGAGGCAAATCAACTACGAGAAAGGTCAGTGGCGGGGCTTTCTTAAGACACTTGAGGCCGCTCTCCACAATTTCATTATCTCCCAGCTCGCCCAGAACCGCATTAAGAGGCATTAGTCCCTGTCCCGTCGACGAGCCCCTCGCCCTCCCTCCTTCACCCGCTCGCCCCCCGCCTATCTCGCCCCTCCGCTGCGGGCCTCAACCGCCGCGCCGCGCCGCGCCCGCGCCGCGTCTTCTCCTTTTCGCGCTTCTGCTCCTCTCTCGCTCCTGCTGCGCCACACACAACATGTACGTGGAGACGTTTCCCGTGCAGGGGAAAGATCGGCGCTCCAACGGGGCAACAATCGTCATTTACATCGATGCACGCGCAGGCGGCCATTAAGTGTGTGCGATCAATTTGCAATTTGCTTGTCGTTCAATTTATCCTTCGACGCGCGTGTGAAATTACCGCCCCGCGAGAGAGGTTCCCCCCCCGTTGCGCGTTGCAACGTTAGTCCGAGGTGTGTATTCGCACCCTCTCCCCCTCCCCCTCCCCCGCCCGCCGCGACGTGCAATTTTGGAAATATTCGCACGCACAGGCGGGCGCGATCCGTCAGCCCGCGCTTGTCCGCGAGCGAGTCCGCGAATAAATTTCAATGTCGTTGCCGCGCGCGGAGCGCGTAGCCGGTGGATAGAGTTTGCGACGTGGATTGGTCACGATGAATGCAGGCAGGCTCCATTAAGAAACGACGAGTCGGCGCGCCGTGAGATGACGGCCAGCATACGGCTTCTTTCTCATTAAGCCGCGTGATAAATCGGCCGGCGTTATTATTAAATATCTCCGCTCCGTGGGATCTCTCGCTGCGAGGATCACGGAACGCGCGCGCGCGCGAGGCGTAAAAGGAAGAGGAGCGAGCGAGCGAGCGAGCGAGCGAGAGAGGGAGAGAGAGGGACACAAAGAAAGGCAAACGAGCGCGGAAAAGCGCGGGAGCGCGTCTCTCACGCGTCGGGATTGCTCGAGAACCTGGGCGGGATTAACCGCGATAAGCCAGACGTCTCTCACGATGCAAATCGCCGCGGCGTTTACGCGATATCGATCAGAGAGTATCTTCGGAGCAGTTTTATTATTACGACGAGCACGCCGAGTACGACGAGTGGGGAAAAAAGTCACTCCGCGATCAAAAGGACGATAACGCGTACAAACGGCCGCGCGCGTAGTCACTTACGTGTCATTACGTACAAACGAGTCGTCATTGTAGTCGTTAATTGTCAGCGCTACCAACAATACGAGACGGTCGCATTATCGAGTCGCCGTATCGTGCACCGCCACGAGTGTGACTGCAAGGGACGACGTGTGTATCGCGCCGTAATCGCCGATTTCCCGCAGATGCGTTCAGGCGAGCGGGAGCGAGAGAGCGAGAGAGAGAGAGAGAGAGAGCGAGCGAGAGAGGAGGCGGGGATATTATCACGAATAAAAAGCCGCATTTACGAGCGCGAAACGGCACGCAACGCCGAGCTGTGCTTTCGCGAGTAGACGAGAGAGAGAGAGAGACGCGATCGCGGCTCTGCGACGAATACGTGCGAGAGAGAGCTGGGAAAAACGTCGACGCCGTGTCTTTTTTCTCGCGCTCGAAGCGCGAGGAGAAGCAGTTTCTCAATTTCCCCCCCGCGCCAGCTGTAACATCGATCGGCCACATCCGCCTCTGCTTTCGCCATCGGCAATGATCGTTATTCTCAGCCTTCGTCATTTTTATAGTCCGTCTCTGTCTCTCAAGGAACTTCTCTCGTCGAAATCATGACCCGATTGAGCGATAACGCTCGGCGTTATCGCTCGGATACGGAGTCGCGGACCGTCGCGGCGCATTCGCGGGCGTGAATCTTCCACGGCTCGGGCTGGGAAAAAGAGAGAGATAGAGAGAGAGAGAGAGAGAGAGAGAGAGAGAGAGAGAGAGAGTCGACGCGGCGCAATCTTCGGCCGGCGGTCCCAGGAGAAGAGCGCACGGCCGCTCTTATCTGCGTTTTCGCGGGTTTTAAGTGGCGGATCCCCATAAACGCGCGAGCCGGCCAGAGTCGCGCGTCGCAGCGGCGCGTTTAATAAATTCCGCGCGAAACGTAACCCCGGGACTTTAATTAGCCATTAGCCGATACAAAGTGTCATTTTCAGGGCCGTTAACTAATGCGTTTGCCGGTCTTAACGTTAGGAATGCCGGGGCATCGCGGTCCCCGTCGGCGGCGCTTAAGCAGCGTCTCCCGTCGCATGCGTTCGCCGACGCAGAAGACGAGCCGATAAAAAGAAACCGACCACGCTGCCATGGCCGATGGCCCTTCGACGCCGCGCTGCCCTCGCGACACGGTGATTGAACCGACAGACTCGAGACACCGTGGCCTCCTCCTCGCGATTCACTCGCGTAATTCCTCTTGCCGCCGCTCTCGGCGACGATGTTCCCCAAACTGCCGCTGGACTCGTCCTCGACGACGACGACGACGACGACGACAAGTCACTCTGACCGACGCAGTTCCAGTCTCCGATTCAATTTTTCATGAACGGGAGGAATTTTTCTTTTCTCTCGCGCAAACGACGACGACGCCGCGACATAAAGGTTCTTCAGGGTACAGAGCACAGTTTCTCGCACGGGGGAGCATTCTTCTGCCCGTTGCCGCGGTGGTCCGCGACTCGTTGCTTGCTCACGCGGCGGATCGAGCCAGCCCCGCGTATCGCGATCTCGCAGCGGGCTTTTTTCTCGCCGCGCGACTTCTTGACCGGCCCAATAAGCGCGCGGACTTTAATACGAAGGGACGTTCGATCGGCCGGGGCCGACTCGCCATCGGCCATCGGACACGTGAACGTTAACGAGTTCATTTCGCGGCGCGCTGCGACGTTAAGCTCGGAATGTGCGGCGCGGCGCGGTTTATTGCTGGTCGGCTTAACAGATTCCGCGCGTTACGTACGCGGGCGGGCGCGCGCTCCACGACGGAAAGACTTTCAGCGCGAGCTGCGGCCGATCGACAGCCGGGGAAAAGGGAAAAGGGAGCGCGCGGGAAGCCGGAGGAGGAAGTGTGTGTGTGTGTGTGTGTGTGTGTTAGCGGATAAAGGGCGCTGCGCGATGTATGGACAGGGAGGAGGAAGGGAGGAAAAAAGAGCGCGACGCAGGCAGCCGACGACGACGACGACGACGACGACGGAGGCGGGGGCGGGGGCGGGGGCGGGGGCGGCGGGGCCGCAAGGGCGAAGTCGGAAAGAGAGTAAGAGAGGCCCGATTTAATACTCGAACGAGCCAGCAGCTCGTTTTACACCAGATGGTTTTACATACGGCCACTATCGTGTTACCAACCTTCGCCGTATGGGTGCATCCGTATCTCCGTCGGCACGATCCGAGCTCCGTCGTACGTGCGTCGCATCCACACACACACACACACACACACACACGCGCGCGCGCGTGTGTGCACATAGGTTTTAAGCCAATCCGGACGGGATGCCTTCGACGCGGAATATTATCGATATTATTCGTCTTTGTCAGCGGGTCTCTCTCGCACGGCCGGCCTGTTTCTACCGGAGATCCTGCGGAATCGCGCGCGCGCGCGCGCGCAAGAGAGAGAGGAGGGAGAGGGAGGGAGAAGGAACGTCATCGACATTCTAAAAAGAGCGGGGCGCGCGCGATCGCCAAGCCGGCGATCTGGAAGCGTTTATCCCTTCGCGTCGCGATCGGCTCTCGCAAACGCGCTAATACGTCGCGAGACGTGTGCATTTTTCTACGCGCGACGACGCGCTCCACGGCGCAAACACAGGCGCTGCTCTCGCTCGGCCGCTCGCAAACCGCGACGGTCTCATTACGGGCGAGGAGGGCTCGCTCGAGCGTTGCGTGTTACGTGCCGAGCGAACGACCGAGGCGACGCGCGCGCGAAAATCGCCGAGAGAGCGCGTGAGATCGGACAACTTTGTTGTCGCGACGCTTGCGGTCCGCCGCTTGATCGGAGAAGATCGTCCCGGAATCGACGCTCAACGACGCTTAACCAGCCGTTCGCCCACACCAGCGTCCTCTCTCTCTCTCTCTCTCTCTCCTTCCTTCCTCGATTGCCCCTCTCCTCCCACCCTGGCGATTTTTCGTCGTCGGCGCCGTGTAATCAGGTGTGTCAATAAAACGCAAGCTAGAAAAGTCTCGCGAAGACCCGGCGGTTTATTTCTCCTCCTCCTCCTCGTCGTCGTCGTTCAATTGGAGAAGGATAAGGACCGCCGCCCCGCGAGGAAAGAGAAAAAGGACGTGCCGCGCGTGTGACGATTCCGTCCGTTCTTCTTCACGGAAGATGCCCGCCGTTCTCATTTATCGTTCAAATATTTGCTCGTTACGCACGCACCTCCGATGCTTTCCGATGCGCGCGGCACCTTCGGAGGAGAGCGCCCCAAGGAGGAGCGCGAGGATGGAAGGAAGAAAGAGAAAGAGAGAGAGGGGGGCCGTTTTCTCTCTCTCTCTCTCTCTCTCCTCCTCCTCTCCTCTGCCCAGCTCTCGCCGCCGCCGGTAAGTTACATGCCGCACCAAGGACAATATGAGGAGCCCGGCGAGATCCTGGTGAGGAGCCAGCGCGGCAATGAGGCTACTATCTTCGATCCTCCGCGAGATACGGAAAGGCGTAGGAGCGGCTCGCTGGAGAACGCGAGGGGGAGCACGGCGACGAGCACGAGGAGACGAGAGGACGGGGCCCGAGCCGAGGATTGTGCGCTGCGCGCGGGGCCCGGGAGCCCGGTTAAAGGCTCCCCGAGAGCGGAATATAAAGAGGGGATTGAGTTGTAGCCGCGAGTGGAGGATCTTATGTAGATTCCTTGTAGATCGTGCACCCGATTCGATCGCCGCGATCGGCCTCTGTGCGCCCGGTACCCGGGTTAATTAAAATTGTAGGAGTCCCGACGTCTCTCCTCTTCTCCCTCGGAAGCTCCCCCCCTCCCCGCGGCTCGCCTGTGGATCCGCCGCTGCCCCTTTGTGGCCTTCTTCCTCCTCTCCCTCCCCCTTCCCCCCCTCTCTCTCTCTCTCTCGCTCGCTTCGGTCCACCTTG